AAATGTACCATTTTCCGATGATTTCGTAATACTTTTTTTAATAAAAAAAATAAATTATTAAATTTGAATTAAAAATATGGTAACTGAAAATAGGAATTGAAGCAGTTAAAAGTTATCAGTATGAATAGAGAAAGCTAGTAAATTTTCTTTATAGAGAAAGCTAGTAAAAAGAAATCTAGTAAATTAACCGATTAATTATGTTTTTGCATATAATTGTTTGAATTTTTCAATTCCAATTAATCTTTCATAATCTCTAAAAATATCTATTCTCAGGAAAAATTTCGTAATAACATCGCGATGAATCAACTCATCTATGAACCATCAAGCAGCCTTATGATTACTCATCGCGAACCAAGACAACAAATAAATTGATTCAATAGTTTTTGATTGCGAATTACACTATATGTTCCTTTCTCTATTTACATTGTATAATTCTATTTCAGATTCAGAAAAATTCAATTAGGTCGTTTTTTCATAGCTACTTTCATGATTGAGACCCATTTCTGTATGGTTTGTCAATTTTAGTCCAAACTGGCCTAAAAGTGTGCAAATTCTTTTTCTGAGCCTTCTTGTACTTTTAAGAACCATTTCTCACATTTTCATTTTTTTTTCATTTGCAAAAAATACCCCTTGGGAAGACTCTAATTTTTTTTTTAATTATATCTAAAAAAACACCCACCCCCCCACCCTGTTTTCTCTTTGGTGTTTTTTTTTTTTTTTTTTTTTTTTTTTTTTTTTTTTTTTTTTTTTTTTTTTTTTTTTTTTTTTTTTTTTTTTTTTTTGTCTCCCCGCTCCCCTCCTTTTTTTTTTTTTTTTTTTTTTTTTTTTTTTTTTTTTTTTTTTTTTTTTTTTTTTTTTTTTTTTTTAAAATTTTGTTTTTAATTTTTTTTTTTTTTTTTTTTTTTAACAAAAAAAAAAAAAAATATTTTTTTTTTTTTTTTTTAATTTTTTTTTTTTTTTTTTTTTTTTAAAAAAAAAAATTATTTTTTTTTTTTTTTTTTTAAAAATTTTTTTTTTTTCCCCCTTATTTTTTTCTTAAAAACATTTTTTATATGTTTAAAAAAAATTTCCTGAAATATCGGACCACTAGCATGATTTTCTTAAAATTTTAAATATTTCGAATTCAGACTCCCATAGGATCCCCCGAAAACACGTTTGACATGTTTTGGTAACATTTCCTCAAATACTAGACCACTAGGGTAATTTTCTGAAATTTTCAAAAATTTTTCTTTGAAATTCCTCAGAAGTACCCCCTATACCACTTTTTACTCTAATTTCAAAAATTTCGAATTCGGACCCCTAGGACCCCCTTATACCACTTTTGACACGTTTTAGTAACATTTTTCGAATGTAATCATTTTCAATCCGTTCTGACAATAAGAAAGAGTTTTAAACGATGTCAGCGTCCGGCGATAGAAATGGTCTACAGAAGAGCAAACCACCTTGCGACGTCGACAATAATTGATTGATTTTTGATTTTTACTTTTTGATTTTCAGAGTTTTTTTGATCACCAATATGACTTTCGAAAATTTTCACAAAATAATTAATTCGGAGGCCCTATAACACTTTTGACACGTTTTAGTAACATTTCCTGAAATATCAGACCACTAGGGTCATTTTCTGAAATTTTCAAAAATTTCGAATTTGGACCCCCATAGGACCATCCTATACCACTTTTGACACGTTTTAGTAACATTTCCTGAAATATCAGACCACTAGGGTCATTTTCTGAAATTTTCAAAAATTTCGAATTTGGACCCCCATAGGACCATCCTATACCACTTTTGACACGTTTTAGTAACATTTCCTGAAATACCAGACCACTAGGGTCATTTTCTGAAATTTTCAAAATTTTCGAATTCGGACCCCCCTAGGACCCCCCTATGCACTTTCGGCCTAAAATTTTGCTGTGGGCCTTCCTGACACAATTAACAACCATTTCCTAAATTTTCACAGTCGCAAAAAAATTTTGCGCAAGGGGGACTCGAACCCACGACCCCAAGTGTACAGAAAGTAGGGACCAAAAGGGCAAAAGGTCCCTCAGTCGTCCCCCTTTCATATTCGCTCATCTTTTGACTATGTACATGTTGGTGTGCCACGTTACCACCTCTTGGCCCGAGGACTCATCCATCATTGGGACGTGCCGGTGTAGATGTCCACGATCCACGATCAATGATCGCACATTTTAACCACTACACCACACCGGCACATTTCGCCAAGGCTGAAATCGCATATAAGAATTCGAGAATTTTCAGAGTGATAGTGAGCTATGTAAGAGCTCTAACTTTTTGGTTTCTGAATCAAATTCGATGATCCAAAAAAAGAACATGGTCAGAATTTGATGCTTTACAACGTGGAATCAACCAATTTGCTTGAAATGCAATGAAAAAGGAGCTGAAGATAGAAAATTGTCCCAAAGGAATATTTCTGAATCTGAAATAGGATTAAACGGTCAAAATCAAATATGGAACAATCATGAAGCAAATATGCGAGCCAAATTGTTTTTTTAAACATTCGGAGCCTGAAGAAACGGCCTAAAAATGTTTAGGGTTCATCTTGAAGTTCAAAATATGGAGAAGAACGCAATTGTTATCTATTTATTAGCTAGAAAATCAAATCAGTAAAGAACTTCTCACAATTCAGTTCAGGCTGATATTTAGACAAAATCGCTTACGCCACAATCTAAATCATCAAATTCTGACCATGTTCTTTTTTTGGATCATCGAATTTGATTCAGAAACAAAAAAGTTAGAGCTCAAACATAGCCCATCACCACTCTGAAAATGCTCGAATTCTTATATGCGATTTCAGCCTTGGCGAAATGTGCCGGTGTGGTGTAGTGGTTAAGATGTGCGATCATTGATCGTGGATCGTGGACATCTACACCGGCACGTCCCAATGATGGATGAGTCCTCGGGCCAATGTTTTAGGCCAGATTAGGTCGAAATTGAAATGACTTATGAATGTAGTTTTATATAATGAAAAAAGCTACTGTGAAGATAGAAACAGTGTCCAAAAAGAATTTTTCTGGTCTGAAACAGAAATAATAATCTAAATCGTGATAGAGTTCAAACTGAAGCTAGAAACGCGCTCCAAATCGATGTGCACGGCATCTGAACATTAATGAATTGCTTTATAGTAGTGCTTTAGACGTTTTTGAAGAATAGAAACGTGGTCTTAAATCAATTTCATAATTCCTTGAAGAAAAATTAAATGACTTAAAACGGAATAACGTCATTTACATTATTTTGCAACCCGTGCTTTACCCATTTTTGAAAATTTGAAGACCACTTCTATAAATAATTATAACCCTTTTGGTGCATAATTATTCGCCCTCTTACTTGTCTTTTTACAACAATAATGAAAAAATGAATGCTGAAAGATTTATAACAAATCAACGGTTTCACGGGGGAAATTCAACAAAAAAACAGATATCTGGGAATTCGTCTGGATTAGGACGGAAAAAATTTTTTCCTATTAATCAAATATGCTTGGGTTGAACAAAATGATAGTTTTTTTTTTTAAAAAATTAAAAAATTTAAAAAAAAAAGGGTTTTATAAAATTTTTTATTTTTTAACTTTTCACAATTCAGGAAATTTCTAACTGGTCAAATTAATAACGGTTTCAATAATCTCCTCATTGAAATTGTTTTCCTTAGAATAAATCGATTAGACAATTTCAAAAACCAACAAAATATAAAAAATACCTCGCGTGATGATAAAAGAGGGCGAACAATTGGCGCATTGCGACGAAAAATTTATTGGCGGTCTAAAAACTTTTTTTTAACCAGGGGTTCTCATGGCACCCGCAGCCGATGAGCTCTTCTCCACATCTTCCAAGGCTCGGTGACGATCTCATACTGGCTTAGCTTGCGCGGCATCTCCTCATTATTGTTTTCCTTAGAATAAATCGATTAGACAATTTCACGTGAATTGATGAAAATACCTCGCGTGATGATGGCGGAGGGCGAACAATTGGCGCATTGCGACGATGGCGGTCACTTCCTCCAGGGGTTCTCATGGCACCCGCAGCCGATGAGCTCATCTCATTGTCAGCCTCTTCGAGTTCAGCTAAAGGCATCGGTGCAGTCCGAAACTAAAATTTCAATAATTTTTGTCTAGTGCGTTAAACTAATCAATTAGGTTTTGTCTTCTTTTAATTATCACTGGTGGAACCACTCCACCCACAACATCAGCTCTGCATTCATTTCTGGATCTATCAGTAAGAATTGATGAGAATCTCGAGGAATCACTTCAAATTTCTTTATATTGTTAGGATTATTAAGGCACGCAATACACAATATGGGAATGTGCTGACTCGAAGCTGTCGTACAAAACCCTTCTGGGTGGTTGCACGTTGTCGACGACGCCAGAGCTGTTAGTAGATTCGACTGGCACATGTGAAGAGATTCTATAATTTTATTTTTTTTATACTAAAATTAGATGTTTTATCAAAGTCTTACGTCGAAATAGTAGTTCCGGTGTAGTTTTCTTCCGAAGTTGATCTCGAAAGACGCCTACCAATAGACATGGAAGATATAGAAGAAATAATCGAAAGGCGTCGAATTCTTCTTTCAATCATTGGGGCTCTGAAAATTTGAATTTTTTGGCATTTTGAGAATTTTTTGCTTGTTAATTTAAAGTAGAACTAATCTTGGTACTTGGACCCTTTCAGCATTGTTTTCCGCACTGTCTTGGTAAGGGAGTTCATCCTGTGGATTGTTTGGCTGCATTGTTCCTAAATGTAGTCGAAAAATATGAATGAATGGATATTTAAATAAACGGAAAAGATAAATGATGAGGCAGATGAGTAATGTGTCAAGAAAAAGGAATGATGGCGGATGGTCCCAATAAGGGAAGTACAGATGCGAATGGGCGGGGCAAGAGGTCGCATATCAATATAAACTGCAATCAAAGGCAGCAGCGCGGTTTCCTATTGGCTAGAGATTACGGTATGGGCGGGCCGTTGTAAACAACAGAGGAAGATGATTGTAATGAGCAAAATGCGGTTTCAAAAACGTTTTTGAAGGAAATAATATTTATCGTTTTGAAAAGTTTGATATATTAATATCGAATTGAAAAAAAATGAACTACAAAAACACTACAATTGTGGTGAAAAAGTAATAACCGTTAAATTGTTCATAAACATCTCAAAATCTGTTTTTTTTTGAATTGAAGGCGAATCGCACAAACTTAAAACAAAAAAGCAAAAATGCTCACTGAAATTTTTAAGTTTGTTGGGAATCGTTGGGAATAAGCAAAGATATCACGTGTTGTAAATATTATTATTGTCATCGTTTTCGTGATCTGTCAGCAACCGTCTCGAGAAATATTTTTGTTATTCCCGATTATCAAAATATTATTGTTTTTTTTCATTAGCTGGTAGACAATAACACGTCTGGCGGTAGAAAGGCTCCGCCCATTACGGGGGTGGAGCTCCCTGTTCCTGTATAAAAGACGATTAGAAAGCTTCATTAATTGTCTCAACAAGCAATATGAAGCTTACTGCCGTTATTTTCTTCGTCATCGTTGGATTCTGCTCCTCTAGTAAGACCACAAATTTTTTTCTGAATTTCAATTTTCTTTTCAGCGTCCATTCAAGAGGATGATATCTACGAAGATTTCGAGCCATTTTTATATACGACTACTTCCAGCCCGATGTGGGAGATGCCGAATTCCGGAGATTTGTTGGTCGGCATGGTCGTTGCCATTGCCGCATTCGTTCTCTTCGCGTTGATCGTCGCTGTCTGCGTGTTCCCCCGTCGTGGAAGTCGAGTTGAATTCTAAATGGTACCATCTTTAATTTGGAATAATTTTGTTAATAAGTTCACTTGTCTTTTTCTCGTGTTGAAAATAAATTTCTAAAACGCGCTTAATCTCTTGAAGGCATAATTTCCCTGTTCATGGTTGAAATCGATTCCGGCGGTTCTCTTGCTTCTGTCTGCAATTTTTTTTTCACAGAATTGAAAGTGGAGCCTGCAGCATTCCTACCCTTCTTTGGATATGGTCAATGTTTCCTTCAACTCAATTGACGTGAACGAAATGCATCAATGAGATGGTAATTTATCCCGGACATCGTTTTCGAGTGCTCGTTCCTTATCACCATGTTTCAAGAATACCACTTAGTTATTTATTGGTCTAGCGTTGATTGTCCATGAGTTTGCCTTCTTCGGTCCATTTTGAGGACGATCGAAATATTTAGAAGGTCATAATAGATCACTTCATCAGAGCTGATATTATTGTCTGGTGGCATACGCCGTGGCAGTTTTGACAAATTGTTCCGTAAGTTTTTTTTATCTTATGATCAACCTTATTCAACAGCTTGGAGTATTTCGGAGCCGACAGCTCTGTCACCTCTGCAATATCTAAAGACATCGTCAAAAAGCTCGTTGTGGTTGATTCAGCTACTCATGTTCTGCTCGTTCTTGACTAACATAGAGTTGCTATGAATTTGAAGGCAAAGGTTTGAAGGCGAAATTGTTTTGGAAAATTTTTATTCCTTCGTGATAATCTCGTTAGGAACCTCAAACCTGAAAATCAATAAATTCTTGAATTTTTCTACTTCAAAAGCATATCGAAAATAATTTTGATAGACTTATTTACCATGAAAAATCTTATTGTTATTCTCGATCTTGAAAAATATTATTGTTTTTTTTCAATATGTGATAGACAATAACACGTCTGGCGGTAGCAAGGCTCCGCCCATTACGGGGTGGAGCTCCCTTTTTCTGTATAAAATACGATTTGTAAGCTTCTTTCATTGTCTCAGCAAGCAATATGAAGCTTACTGCCGTTATTTTCTTCCTCATCGCCGGCCTGTGCTCCTCTAGTAAGACATCACATTTTCTTCTGAATTTCAATTTCAATTTTTTCCAGCGCCGGTTCGAATGGATATCTACGACATCTTCAAAAATGAGCCTTTAATGTACGCGACTTCCAGCTCGATGTGGGAGATGCCGACTTCCGGAGATCTGTTGATCGACATGATCATTGCTATTGCCGCATTCGTTCTCTTCGCGTTGATTGTCGCTGTCTTCGTGTTCCCCTGTCGTGGAAAGCGAATCTAATTCTAAATGGTACCATTATTTGGAATAATGTTAAAAAGTTCACTTGTCTTTTTATCGTGCTGAAAATAAATTTCTAAAACGCGCTGAATTTCTAGATTTGGAATAAATTTGTTATTAATCTCACCTGTCTTTTTCACGTAATTAAAATTATCCGTCGCAGTAAAACAAGGCATAATTTCTCGGCTCGATTTATTCGGATATTGTCAATGTTTCCTTCAACTTAATACCACATATCATTAATTCGCGGCAATGGTTGAAATCGATTTCATTGGGCCAAACAAGTTATGTAATTGGTGCATTACAACAATATATCTTTTTGAGCCAGCATAGCTTGTCCATGCAAGTGATGCTTCCGGCCCCTGTTAAGACTTTCTCGAAATTCTCGTTACTGGAATTATTCTTTAAAATCTTATTTCTTTAAAATATTTTTTTTTCAAACTTAAGCCGTGGTAATGAATGCTAATTATTGTTATTATTACTGTTTTTGCCGACTACATTACAAACACCAATGGAAACTATCTACAGAAATATTTTTGTTATTCCCGATTTTCACAAATATTATTATTTTTTAATCACGTGATAAACAATAACACGTCTAACAAGGCACCGCCAATTACGGTAGACGTCTTCAAGGTCTTGTTTGTCTAAACAAACAACAAGAAGCTCTCTACATAATAAACAACCGTGAGAACTGTCTACAGCTTCTGTCTGCAAATTTAATTTAGTTAAAATTCAAGTTTAGCGAACTTCATAAATATTATTGTTTTTCAATTACGTGTTTGTCAATAACATGTTCGGCGGTAGCAAGGCACCACCAATTACGGTAGACGTCTGACAAACAGGCTATTTCGAATCTTCTTGTTTGTCTTAACAAACAACATGAAGCTCACCGCCATCATTTCTTTCTCCGTCTCCTCCAATATGATAATGAAAACCATTTCCAATTAATTTATTTTTTTATTTTTAGAGCCTACTCCGAAAACACGATTGGATACCCACGATATCATTACAATAGCTTCAATGATGTATTCAAATACTTCTGAATCGGCAAACACTTTTCGAATCAGAATGACAACAGCACTTCCAAATACCGAAGACGATTTGATGCTTGCAATGATTTATGTCATCACAATGTTTTTGGTCCTCTACTCGCTGTTTCATCAAAGAAATTGAATCAGCTTCTAAATGAAATCATTAATGTTTGCAATAAAACTTTTTCCGTTAGTTTGGTGCCATGTAAAAAAGAAAACGAACATAAACCCTTGTCATAATTGCTATAAGGACGAAAAATAAGTTTATTTATGACTCTTCTAATTAAAAGATATTTTCTAGGAGTTATCGGTCTTTTTACACCTCAATGTTCTGATGGGTGCAGTAATTATTTGTCCCATACGAGAATCGGACAATCATTTTTCATACTGGCCAAATAAACTGGAATGGGCCAAAGATGTTCATCGCGTAGACAACCAACGCCAGACCAAAATAACCAAATGAATAACCGAGTGGTATTCTTGGAACTGAACAAGACGAAAAGCGTGCTGAAGAATGCTGTCCGGGATATATCACCATCAGGTTCATTAAAATTATTCGATTTATTATTTGACAAATTGGTACCTAAAATAAACGGACGTGTCGCTTCGCCTTTGAAGAACAATAATGTTGTACGCGGAAACCTTCATCCTCGTCAAAAATCTGGAATTAGCCGAATGCGATGATCTTATGGACAACCAACGCCAGACCAAAATAACCAAATGAATAACCGAGTGGTATTCTTGGAACTGAACAAGACGAAAAGCGTGCTGAAGAATGCTGTCCGGGATATATCACCATCAGGTTCATTAAAATTATTCGATTTATTATTTGACAAATTGGTACCTAAAATAAACGGACGTGTCGCTTCGCCTTTGAAGAACAATAATGTTGGACGCGGAAACCTTCATCCTCGTCAAAAATCTGGAATTAGCCGAATGCGATGATCTTATGGACAACCAACGCCAGACCAAAATAACCAAAT